AGTGCGACGCTCCTTGTTTTTGCCTCCGTCATGCTGCCTGTTGGGTTGGTGACACCTTCGACCCTAGTCCTGCAGGCATTGTTTCTTGTTTGTGACTCACTTTACCCAATTAACTGATGACATTATTTGGGTGCAAGTGGCTCAGGCATTGCATGCTAGATATAGGTTGCAGCAACGTGCTAGGTTGGTTGCTTCGCTGGATGCCCCAAGGCTGCCCCACTTTGCTTTTGGGGGTCGCTTTGTCCTTGGTTCAGTCCGCATACCCTCATTCTTCCCCCTGTTTCTGGCTCCTAAGCATCTGAGGGCTTCAGAGTCAGGGCGAGGTTACAAGGTTTGAGACTTGGGTGGTTTCGGGGGTTACCCCTGGGGAGGTGACAGTGACATTTGAGTCGGTACCTCCAACTGTAGCACCAAGGTCTGACCAGTGGGCCCCCTCTCTTCCTGCATTCTCTCCCCCCTTCCCCTGCTTTTTCTTGTGAAGGCGGTGGTGCTTTGAGGGATGACTTGCCCCAGGGGGCCTGATATGGAGGTTCCCGGTTTTGGGGATGGGCTGACTTGGGGGCCTTGAGCCCCGTTGGACCCCCCCCTGGGTTTACCAACCTACTGAGCGTGGTTTTCGGTACCCCCTGCTTGGCCCCCGTGAGTGTACACGTCCCGGGGATTCAGTTCTTAGAATGTTGTTTGGTAGTCTTGGGCGCCGGTTAGCAGTACCCTTCCTGGGCTTCCCTGAGCGTGAATTCCATCTCAGGACCCTGGGAAACTCCACGGTGGCGTGCGGGTCCGATGGATGTGACCCCTGAGTTCCCCCCACCCTCGCTTTGTGCGAGTTCGAAGGTTGCTCTGTCCCCTTGTCTTAGGGTGACTCTCACTGTTTCTGCCTCCGTCTGCTGCCTGTTGGGTCGGTGATACCTTTGACCCGTAGTTATGCAAGTTTTGTTGCTTGTTTGTGACTCGGTTACCCAGTCCTAATGCTGACTACACAGGTGCAGGCAGCACAAGCATTGCACGTTGGGTTCAGGTAGTTGCATCGCGCTAGGTTGTTAGCGCTCCCGGAAGCGCAGAGGCTGCGCCGTTTTGGTTGTTGTGTCTTATAGTGTCTTGTCTTATTTGTCGACCAATTATACAAGTTGGTCAACAAACAGCATTGTTTAAAATAGCAAGACATGGGCTGACACTTAGGGGTAAGGTAGGTTACATGGAGTTTATTAGGTAGTACAGTGGTACCTCGGGTTATGAACGTCCCTGTTTACGAACTTTTCGGGTTACGAGCCCGATTTGTTCGGAAAATTTTAATCGGGATTCGAGTTTGTTGATAAGTGTACGGATGACCTAACGCGTGGTGGCATGGCGATCGCGCCTCAGTTTAACAGTGCCTCGCGCCCAGTGACTATCCTAAATTCTTTACAAGAATTTACAGTTTTTTGTCAGATTTTTGACAATTTGAGCATAAAACTTATTATATATCTCGCCATGGGTCCCATGAAAGCCAATGGTAATGTTCAGGGCAAGAAATCACATGTGAGAATGACCATAGGAAAAACAAGAGATCATTCGTAAGCATGAAAATGGTACTTGTGTTGTTGAATTAGCTAGGCAGTACAACAAATCCATGTCAACGATATGCTCTGTACTGTACTTGCCAAGAAAAAGGACATTATGAGTGCTAAAGTGGCAAAAGGCGTATCAACAATCACGAAACAAAGACTACAAATACTTGAGGATGTGGAAAAGTTGTTATTAATTTGGATACACAACAAGGAGTTAGCGGGTGATAGTGTTTCAGAGGCCATCATTTGTGAGAAAGCCAGGGTATTGCATGAAAACCTTGTAAGGAAAACCCCTGGAACAAGTGCAGATATGAAAGACTAAGGCAAGCAGGGGATGGTTTGACAAATTTAGAAAAAGAAGTGGTACAGTATTCATAGTGTTGAGGCATGGGGAGGCTACCAGCTCAGACAAACCAACGGCTGAAAGATTTATTGAAGAATTTAAACATTTTGTAGAGGCTGAGGGATACCTACCACAACAAGTGTTTGTGGAGACAGGACTGTTCTGGAAAAGATTGCCTAAGAGGACATACATTACCAAGGAGGAGAAATCATTGCCCGGACACAAGCCTATGAAAGATAGGTTTACGCTTGTGCTGTGTGGAAATGCGAGTGGCGATTTGAAAATTAAACCCTTGCTTGTGTATCATTCTGAAAATCCAAGGGTTTTCAAAAAGTATGGTGTGCAGAAAAAAAATTTGTGTGATGTGGAGTGCTAATAATAAGGCATGGGTGACTAGGATTTTTTTTACAGAATGGGTGAATGATGTGGTGTGCCCTGACATACAAAAATATCTGCAGGAGAAAAGTTTGCCACTCAAGGCCCCGCTTCTCCTCGACAATGCTCCTGCTCATCCTCCAGGCTTGGAAGATGCATTGTTGACCAGATTTAATTTTGTCACAATAAAGTTCCTTCCTCCTAACACTACTCCTCTAATTCAGCCTATGGACCAGAAAATCATAGCGAATTTTAAGAAACTTTATGAAAGGGCACTTTTCCGGAAATGTTTTGAGGTGACTGAAGCCACAAACCTCACCCTCAAAGAGTTCTGGAAACACTATTTTAACATTTGTAGTGCTTTAAAACTCATTGATAAAGCCTGGCAAGAAGTGACTCAAAGAACCCTGATCTCTGGCTGGAGAAAATTGTGGCCTGAAGATGTGTGAGAAGTAGACTTTGAGGGGTTTAAGCCTGTAAATGAAGTGCCTGTTGTTGAGGAAATTGTTACTCTGGGCCAGCAAATGAGCTTGGAATTGGATGGTGCTGATGTGGAGGAGTTGGTGGAAAAACACAACGAAGAATTGACCACCAAAGAACTCCAAGCCCTTCTAAAGGAGCAGCAACTCGAGGCAGCTGAAGATATTTCTTCAGAAGAGGATGAGGCAGAAGAGAATGTCCCTTCCTCAACAATTAACAAGTGGTATCAGATGTGAGAAGAAATGCAAACTTTTATTGAAATGACTCACCCAGAGAAAGCTGTAGTAGGCTGTCTTTTCAATGACAATGTGATGCCTCACTACAAACAAATGTTGCAAAGAAGGGAAAAACCATCTTTAATGGATCGTTTCATTGTGAGAAAATTAAACAGTGAGCCGCAACCAAGACCTACTGGTATGCAGGCAAAACGTGCCAGAGAGTGCACTCCAGTGAAATCTTCACTGCCTGATGTTATAATGGAAGGGGGACTCCCCTTCCAAACAATAACACCTCTCCTCCTCTCCCCTCCTCACCATCTTCCATACGCCAACAGGAGTCATCAGCAAGGGTAAGTAATAACTTGAACATACATTTGTAGTGTAGATTTGTGTGAATTAGGTATAAAATTTACTTTTGAAGTAAAGTTTTTGGGGCATCAAGAACGAATTAATTTATTTCCCATTATTTCTTATGGGGAAATTCGTGTCGGTTTACAAATTTTCGGGTTACGAATTGTCTCCAGGAACGGATTAAATTCTTAAACCGAGGTACCCCTGTACAGTACTTAGTTTTTATCTTAAACTGGTTGAGAGTGGTACAGCCTTTGACATGATTGGGAAGGTCATTCCACATTCTGGGTCCCTTGATTTGTAGAGCATTTGTAGTTTGAGTATGTTGTACTCTTGGAATATCAAATAGGTATTTGTTTCTGGTGTGGTGCCCATGGATTCTGTTACAATCTTCTAGGAAGCTTTTAAGGTCAGGATTGACATTACAGTTCAAAGTTTTAAATATATAGAGTACACATGAGAGGATGTGCAGTGACTTAATATCTAACAATCAGAGATTTGAGTAAGGGTACCGAGTGATGTCTGGGGGCCAGAGTTAGATATTGTTGTAATAGCAGTTTTGTGTTGAGTAATTAGAGGACGTAAATGATTTTGGGTAGTAGAACCCCAAGCACAAATACCATAGTTGAGATAAGGATAGATAAGAGTTACTTACGCTGTAAATAATCATGTAATTTGATTACATGATAGAGCGTCACCAGGGCAGGACGAGGTACAAAATGTCTGATCTTGGAAAGAATGCCAACAGTTTTAGAAACTTTTCTGGGGGGAGCCCCTACGGCTCCCTGGAGCTATCCAGGCTGATATGCTAATGTCAGACTTTGGCATCAGTCATGTGTATGGAGTTCTGTGGGCTTACCAGGGACCACGAGCCAGAACCTGGCCCCTTCAGAGAGGCATGGGAAGCAATGGCCCATAGAAACCCTCGTGTGGTTGAAAGCATTCTATGTCTGCCATCGACTGGGTCAGGCACCCAGAAAGGTAAGCGTCCCAAAACAAACCCCTATTCTGATGAAAAATTGCTACCAAAAGCTAAACAAATGGATAGAATTCCCTAAGAAGAAACGAGCAAATGAGCATGACGTCACACGTCGCCGCGCCGCTGTCTGCATAGCTCATTAGGGGAGCTCATTATTAATAATAATATTATTATTATTATTATTATTATTATTATTATTATTATTATTAATATTATTATTATTATTACAGTATTTTTATCAGAATCTTGTTCAGAACATTGTGTACAGCACTTAGAGAAACAGTCTAGGTTACATCCAAAAATTGTAATACACTTACACACATATTAGATCTCTGTCACTTTCATTCAAGCACTACAACATTGTAGTAACTTTCTCATTATTAATAATAATAATATCATTATTATTATTATTATTACAGTACAGTATTTTTATCAGTATTATTTTTAATTATTATACTTTTCAGGTTTTTTTCTGAAAACTAGCCTTACATGCTGGTTACATTTAACTAAGAGATTTTGTGACTCAAATTCATCTAATTTTGCTGCTATGTAATGTGGGGTGTGGTCTTCAATATTGAAGTTACTCAACTCCTGTCATCAGATACAATATCAGCGTTCCGAGCTATAAACTTATTGTGACTGTTGATGATGGTGTTTCAATAAAAAATTATGAGGGGCTCTGGATCTTTATTCTCTGTTGATTCCAGGTTAGATACGTAGATTATTATTACGACGCTTATGGCATCAAGATAAAGGATCCCCGGCAACCACTCCTGCTTCACCGAACAAATATGAAGGATGGCAATAATCAGGTGAGATACTGTAGTAACATACTGTTTGATTTTATATATATAATGTGGTTTCTACTTTGATTGCTTAAGTGGTAATCTACAACAGTATTTAATTAGTTTTTCTGTTAATTTAGTGTGGTAGATGTAACCTATAGCAGAATGAGTGTCACATATACAGTATGTTCAAGTATAAAATAAATTTAAACAATAATTACTTCAGAATTTTCAGTAATTTGCAAATTTTTCTGGGGGAGCCCCGTTGGCTCCCTAAAGCTACTCGAGCTGATATGTGCTTTAAAAGTTTGGGACCATTAGTCACTGGAGTCTCTAGACCTACCGGGGACCCTGAGCCAGAACTTGGTCCCCTCAGAGAGGTGCAGGGAGCAATGGCGTATGAACACTTTACATTTAAAGTATGTCATATTTTGCCATCGACCAGGACATATAAAGATAAAGATAGTTGAACCAAAACACACAACTAGCTGACAAAATGTAACATATAGCACAAATGCGCCAAGAAATTCCCCCTAAATTATTAATGGAAATGAAATCAAGCAACTCTGCATGCGAACGAGTGCTCCCGCTCATTAGCGGGTCCCCCCAACTATGGGGGGGGGGGGAGGGAACCGTCTTAGGCAAGCCTACTGTTCACCCTCCAATCCTCGTCTGATGTGCTTGGTGGTCACAGTCACCTTTGGCCTCACTTTCCTGACTGGATTTTGTCCTGTGTGGGGTGTTGTTGGCCAGATGTTCTTGGTACTTCAAGCTGCATACACTCTGGGTTACCTTCCTAGGGTGCTCTTAAGTACTGCCCTTGCGTACCAGGGTTACCTTCCCTGGGCATTCGAGACTTGCTCACCGTTAGGTGCTTCGCCCTTGGGGTATGTCGGGAGTTTTGGGCTTTCCATCTTGCCCCAGGTAGGGGAATGTTATTGGCTGGGGGGGGGGGGGTGGCTGCTGTGGTGACCACTTGCAATAACTAACGTTTCTCCTCGACTGCCCGTTTGTTTGGGGTGTGGTTTCGGGGCTTCGTTTGTAATGTTGCGGGTATTTGCCCTTTGTTTTGCTGAGGAGGTTGGCTTAGCGGCTTGTTAGGATCATCCTAGGTTGTGTTTGGCTCTCCTCTGTTGGCATGAGGTCTCACTTCTACTCCTGGTGGTCGGTGTGCCTGCTTTCAAGCAGGGGGTCTAACAGCTTAGCAGGTCACAGAGCCTGGGCTTCCCATAGGGATAACGTACCTTGTGGGCCCTGGTAAACCCTCTGGAGCTCAGTAACATGGATCTGTCAGAGTCCACTCTCGCAGTGGGTGGTGGAAGCCCACTCCTCAGGGGTGATGCACTTGAAAAAGGGCTCTGCCTCGGGGCCTGGTTGGGGCCTCCGGAGCCTGGGGGAGTTCGCTTGGAGTGATTGGACTTATTTGATCCTGCTTGGTCTTTTTGTGTCCTCTGGGCAGGGTTTGTTGCTTCAGGGTAAGGGGTTCTCGTATCCTCCTTCCTTGTATGAGTTTGAGTAAAGTGCCCTACCCGGGTGCGTTTCCAAGTGCCTTTGGGCTCCGTGGATTCGTGAGGTTCGTGAGGCTCTTGGTGCATACCTCCTGCAAGACTCGGTTTACGCCTCTGTGATGGATCTGCCTCTTTTGAATTTGGGTCGTCCTTCCCCTTATTGGGTGCGTTATGAGGTTCCGGAGTCTTCCTGGCTGACAGATTGTCCTTTTTTGCCTTTTTGGGGGCTTGGCATGGCTTCAGTCATTCCCGTGTGTTTGAGTGGTGGGAGAATTCTAATGTGTTGCAGGTGTTCTTGGGAGGCTCGCGTCAGTTCCTCAATGAGTGCCTCTTTGCTACCGCACTTCCCCGTGATATGGGTCTGGTACAGTTACATGCTCAGGTGCCCACTCTTTCGACTGCTTTGGCAGTGGAGGATCACCGGGTTCGTGGTCATTTGGTTTCGAGCTTGTGCCTCTTCAGTCTTCTCGAAGACTGCCCGGGAACTTTTGTCGTATGGTCGGTACCGTGTTTGCTCTGTGCAGCACTTGGCTTTTTGGATTTCGCATTGGCATTGGGCATCTCTTTTTGAGCATCACCCTCGTTGACAGGGAGTTGGACATCTCTTTTTGCTTACGCCTAGTCCCAAGATGTGTGGGCTTTTTGGGTCATTTCCTTCGGCCTTTGGTGGCGTTGGGTGAGCCGTCCTCCCCCTTGGGGGGTCGGGCTTGGAGGGAGCAGCCTTCCTGCCTGTCATTCGTTCCAGTCATCTTGGAGTGGCTTTGCTTGGGTGTGGTCAAAACGACTGTGTCTCTCAGGTGGGTTTCCCTGCTTGTTTCCAGTGCCAAAATGGAATTGTGCAGATCTCCAGTACATTCTGGATGTCTTGTCTGAACCGGTTGATTCCATGCCCTTCTTTTCAGATGACCATTGTGACTCATGTCTGGCTTGCTCTCGAACCTGATGCTTGGATGATTTCCCTGGATCTCCAGGACACTAATTGGCATGTCCCTATTCATCAGAGGGTTTAGGGATTAATTGAGGTTGCAGTTGGGACAACAGGCTTACCGTTTTTGTTGTCTGCCTTTCGGCTTGATTTTGCATTTTTACGGGCCTTACTCGGGTCGTGGTGGCCCATTTGTTTCTGCTAGGGCACCTTCCTCGACAACTGGTTGGTGTGGGCTCCCAGCCGGTCTGCTTGTCTGCTAACCAGGAATCTGGTTCTTTCCCAGGTGGCTGGGTTCAGGTTCCTGTTTAATTGGCAGAAGTCCCAGTAGATTCCGTTCTGTTCTGTTCTGTTCGGCCTTGGCTGGGCCTTATATGGTATTCTCGGACTGTGTCCATTTCTCTTCCCCAATCCCCTGCAGCGCTGCTCCGGCTGCGATCCCATCTTCAGCCATTCTTGAGGGGAAGGGGGGCACTTGGCGGTTGCTCGAGCAGCTCTGTGGGAACTTGAAATCTGCCCTTCTAGTTTATCTGTTGATCAGAGGTTGGCTTCAGAGGCTGTTCTGGTATCTTCAGAGCTGCCTCTTTAGCTGCTCTTGCGACCATTGGGTTTGAGCCCCAGTGGCCTTGCGCCGGTTGCTGCATCACCTGCTTCCTCTTCGTTTTTTGGGGGGTTCAGTGCCACTGCACCTTCCCCTTCCCGCACTTGATGTGTTTATGGATGCTTCATCTCTCGGCTGGGGTTTTGTTGCCAGTACTCGCCAGTTCAGCCAGTGGCATTGGGGTTCATCCTTCTGTCGGGTTTACAACACGGTGAGGGAGTTTGCGGCAGTGTGGCAGGTGCTGCGATGGATTCAGCTTCCTCGGGGCTCTGTGATCAGGCTCTATTTGAACTGTTCTCCCGTGGTTCATTGTCTCAAATGCAGGAGGTTCATTCAGTCTGTTGCTCTTTGGGGCTGGTTACTTCGAGTGGGTCTTCTGCTGAGTTCTCTGGGTTTAGCTCTCTGTGTGGTTCACATCCAGGGCGTGTCCAGCGTGCTAGCCGACGGCTTGTCCTGGTTCATTCCTCTCTCCGTGGAATGGACGGTCGATGCTGAGTCCTTCCATTGGCTGCCCGGAGGTGAAGCTCTCATGTTGGCGTGGTGTCTTCCTCTGTATGTGGCGCCCTTCCCCGACTGTGACGCATTCAGGGTATATGCGTTTCGGCAGGACTGGTCGCGGTGTACTTCCTGTACCTCTTTCTTTTTCCCAGTCCAGCTGTTGCTCCAGGTGCTTGCTCGGTGTCCGAACCCGGGCATCTTTCCTTGGCTCCACCTCTACCATAAGAAACAAGTGTGGTATCTAGCTGGTTTTTGTTGCTGCTCCGCTCTTTGTGTCTGGACTTTCTGACACGAGTGTATCACCATTTCTATGGTGATCAGGTGGTTTCCTTGATGGTGTCCCACCTGCAATCTTCATCCAGACGACATTATGAAGTTGCCTGGCGGTCTTCATGTTTTTTCCTATCGCTGTGTAGGTGTACTTCGGTCTCTGATAGGGTTGTCTCAGGACCGTCATCTTATGCCATATCCTGTCACTTCGTATCGTGTGATGCCGGTGGAGCCGCTACAGCTTGCGTTCGGTATTGGTTATTTTTGCTCCGTTCCGCAATCTGTCTCGTGCGTCGTTTCACTTCTGGCGTGCCTATGCGCCGACTGAGCCGTCCTGGTCGTTGGACAGGGTGCTCTCTCTTCTCTCTTCTCTTCGGGTTTATAGTGAACCCTTCGGTTCAGGATTGCTTTTCTAAGGCTCTTTTTCCTGTTGTCATTGGCCTCTGGGAGGTCTGGTCGGGGGAGCTTCATGCTCTCCTCCGGCACAGGGGTTTCTGCTCTTTTGGTCCTGGAGGTAGGTTTGTTCATTTGCAGTCATCTCCTTCTTTTCTGTCGAAGAATGAGTCTGTTGCTTTCCAGAAGGGTCCTTGGGTTGTTGATGCTTGGTTGGTCAGGCCTGGGATGCATCATGTGTTGTGTCCGGTTGCAGCTCTGCCGTTATCTGCGCGCCACGACTTCGATGGCCGGGGACGTGCTTCGAGTTGACCAGATTTCCCTTCTTCCTTGTTCTAGAGCACGGGTCTCCCAGGTTGTCTGCAGGGTTATCAAGTTTAGCCAGCCTGCGGTCTATCCTCGTTCCCACAACATTCGTAAGTTTGCTGCTTTGGCTGCCGTCTTCGGTAACATGTCTTGGGTTGACATTCAGGCGCGGGGTTTTTGGAAGTCAAACAGGGTCCTGGCTGCTTGCTACTTTGTCAGTGTTACAGGACCTCGTAGGGCCTGTGTTACATTGGGTCGGTGGTTGCAGCCTGTTGTCTCGACTTCGCGTTGAGAATCGAGGGCCGACTGCTTCCCGGGTAAGTGCCTGTTTTTTGTTATCTTTGGGTAGTTAGCACTGAGGAGCCGATGGGGCTCCCCCCAGAAAACCAGCGTTGAATGCAATGAAACGTCATTATCTAGGTGTGACCCGGAGGCTCCCTGGCAACCTTCCCTCCCTCCCTCCGGTCGGCAGTGTTTTCACTTAGTTTGACATCCAGCCTCAGAATTGAAGGGTAGATCGCCAGCGCGAGACAGTGGCGCTGCAATGTGATGACATCATGCTAGTTTGCTAATTTTCATTTGGGGAGTTCTGTTCACTCGTTCCAGCTTTCGGTAGCAATATTTTCACCAGAATAGGGGTTTGTTTTGGGGCGCCTACCTTTCTGGGTGCCTGACCTGGTTGATGGCAGACATAAAGTGCTCCCAACCACATGGGGGGATGGTTCTATAGGCCATTGCTTCCTGTGCCTCTCTGAGAGGGGCCAGGTTCTGGCTCGTGGTCCCTGGTAGGCCAAACTCAGTGCACTTTGATGCTTGAAAGCTAATATATCCATATCAGCCTGGATAGCTCCGGGAAGCCTCCTGGTCACACCCAGAAAATGGCGTTTCATTACATTCAACGCTGTTTTTTTCTCTGGCTCATGCGTCTCCCCTCCGTGAAAGTGGGAACAAGATAATAATAATGATGATGCTCAGGCCTAATCCATACAAACAAATGTGTGTGCTTGATAATCATCACCATAATCATTAGTTTCTCTTCCTAGCAGGGTTCAAAGAGGGTGTTATGTTTGATTCCTGAATTATGCTACATGACTGGCATGACAGATGATATGCGTTCTGACTTTCGGGTGATGAAAGATATTGCCCAGCATACCCGGATAACTCCAACAGTTCGACAGGCTTCTCTTCGCACATTCATCAAAAATGTCAATGGTTAGCAATTACATTTTTGGTACCACATAAAATTGAATTTTATGTGGTACTTAAGCTGACAAAAATGATTGCTTAAGTGCCACATAAATTTGTAAACTATCAACTTGTCTCTTCAAAAGACATTTTGTAATTCGAATGCTAAAAATGTTTTGTGTTGCCCACCATAAGTAACATTATTTTATTAGAGAACACACTTTAACTTTGTTGGTGTTTATTAACCCTTAGACAGCGGTAGTCATCAATTGTTGATTCACATGGTAATGCAGTTATCATCATACATTATGAAGAGTTAAATAATTATTTTCTGTGTTTTACATGTATGATGCAAATATAGATCTAATAGGGCTATGGATGTAATGGAATTTACCTTGACCCATGAAAAAAAATCCTACTACCAAAAAAACTACAGTACCATGAAAAAATCCTCCTGGCGAAAATGCAGTTATCGTCATGAATGTTACTAGGAAAATGTGGTCATCATCATATGATGATTTAAACAATTATTGTCTGGGTTTTACATTTATAGTGCAAATATGGATATAAAAGCTTTCTATGGATGTAAATAAAGAAGAACAAGTGATAAAATAATCAGTGAAACATCCGAGGATAAAACATAAAGCGTTTAAAGGTGTAAAATTGAGCACAAAGGGGTTGGCAAGTGCTAGAAGCAGCCTTGCAGAGTGCCTCCACCCAGTGAAATGATAAATGTTCACTTATTTTTGTGTTTTTCTTACACTCGGCATACAAATTAATAATTTGATAATAAAAAATTATTTCTTGGAAGTTTTCTGTGGGGAGCTCCCACGACTCCCCGGAGCTTACAGAGCTGATATGTATGTACTGTATTAGACTATGGCATCAGTCGATGGAGTTCTTGCCTGCCGGGGACCACAAGCCAGAACCTGGTTCCCCTGGGAGAGACATGAGGAGCAATGGCTTATGGAAACCCCCATGTGTTTGTTGGAAGCATTCCATGTCTGCCATCGACCGGGATTTGACACCCAGAAAGATAGGCATAACAAAACAGACCATACATGGTAAAAATTGCTATCTAAAACAGAACAGGGTGGCAGAACTCCAAAACTAAAACAAGCAAACACAAACATCACTAATGCTACAGCATTCAGTTCTTCGGCTGATGTGGACTATGGCGGTCGTCAACTTTGGCCTCTGACTCTTGCAGTTCTGTTTCTTGTGGTGTATTCTGCTGTGTGTGGTGCACAGGCCAGGAGTAATTCATCAGTACTGGGGCTGCATGCTTAGAGCCACCTTCCTTAACCCTTAAGCTGCTAAGGGGTCCTGAGGAGATTTACACCCTTGTGCGCAAGAAAAAAAATTCTAAAAAATTATTTCATCTTCTAGAAATGTTAATTTGTGTTCCCTGGGCACTGGAAATGTAAACAAATAAAATCGTAGGCGACATATTTTGGGCGCAATAGGTCGAGGAAGTTTTTGGGCGTTGACAGATCAGTCGTCAGAGGTGGTCAGCGTCACCCAAGCTGACAGGCAGGAGTTGCCACAAAGATATTATTACCTAATTATTTCAATATCTCTGATTTTTTCTTCATTTTTTGCAGTAATATTATTCAATAGTGTGTAGTGTGATATATTTACATAATAAAAGAGGTGAATCATCGCTATACTCAAAAGTATGGTGTGCATATTAGTGATTCAATTATTATGTTCATAAAACAATAAACAAATAGTTTTGCTGTTATTACACCATATACCCTCAGGTTATATATAAGTATCTGCATGTTTTGTTCACCATAACGAACCACTAAGTTGGTATTGTGAGTCAAAAAGCAACGAAGAGTGGCCGCCACACACCAGTCAGCCACTCGCTGCCACTCCTCCCTCAACAACATCTCACTAGCCCACATTTTCCTCCCACCATACTGTTTTTGCTTTTATTCACTATATACAGACGTTGTATAGAGAACCACTGAGCTGGTATGGTGAATGCAGGCAATAACAGGTGACCACACAGTCTCCCTCCCTCTCCCTCAGCATTACTCCGCCCACACATCGCTAATTATTCACTACACTCCTGCTATTATCACAATCCTTGTCATTGTTATCACAGACAGGAGTCATCTGTAATACTGTCATCGCTAAATAATAGCAGTTACATATTTATTTTGACATTTTTAGGCGATGCTGTGGTCACAAGCTGAACAGCAATGCTGTTAGCTCATGCTGCGTGTGCCAGCTTTGGTTGCTTCCATAGTACTGTGGCTCTCACACCAGAGAATATTGCCCACGATATTTTTTAAACATGACGTCTGTTTACAAGAGCCCTGAGAAAGCTGATGTGAACCCCGTGTAGCCGCGGGCCATTTGAATCGTGCCTGGCACCCTATAGCATATATATATGGCGCACGGTGGGACAGGTTACTCATGGCGTATATATATGCCATGCGCAGTTTAAGGGCTAAGCACCCTGTAAATCCTGGCCTTCTGGGATATCTTCCACAGAGCATTCGGGAACCATTTCCGTATGGGCCTTTTGCTGCTTGGCAATTGCTCGCCCTTGGGGCCAGCTTTTTTTTTTTTTTTTTTTGCTGCTGTTTGACCTTGGGTAGGAAGTGGTATCGTTGCTGGTAGGGGGCGCAAGGTATTGTGAAGCTTGTCTCCCATTATACACAGCGGCCGGTTCTGTTCCTCCTGGGGACGATGTGCTTTCGCAGGGTTTACTTTTTCTTTTTGTTTATTTTGCCTGGTGGGGGTCTGCCCTCCTGATTTATCAACCCTTCTGTTGTATTGGTGATCCTCCATTAGTCCCCCAATGCCTGTACACATCACAGGGGTTCAGGTTTTAAGCAGTTCTCTTGGTAGTTTGGGTCCAACCTGTTAGCAATACCTTGCCTGGGCTTCCCTTAGCAGTCAGCCTAAAGGCGCTGGAAAACCTCATTGCAGCTCTTTGGACCTATGGATGCATCCTCAGGGCCCCAACTCGCCGCGTGCAAGTTTAAAGGTTGCTCTGTCCCCTTGTCTCAGAGTGAATCTCACCAGTTTTGCCTCCGTCATGCTCCATGTTGGGTCAATGACACCTCTTACCCGGAGTCTTGTGAGTCTTGCTCCGTGCTGCAGATTACCCAATCTTCTGATATTGATATTCGGGAAAAGGTGGCTTTGGCGTTGCATGCTAAATATCGGTTGCCGCAGCACGCTTGGTTAGTTGCTCATCCGGATGCTTCAAGGCTGCCTGGCATGGGGTTATAGGACCCAGACTTGGGGGGTCCTTAGTCGCTTCGACTTAGGTTTCATCCAAGCTCCTTTGTCCTTCCCCTGTTGGTGTTGTTCGTCCTGCTCCCGGCTCCCAAACGTCTGAGGGTTTCTGAGTCAGGGCAGAGTTTAGATGGTAATAAGACTTGGGCGACTTCAGGGACTGCCCCTTCCGGGTCGGCAATGGAGGCATTTGAGCCTGCTCTTCTTGCCAAGGCTTCCGGGTCTTACCAGCAGACCACCTTCTTCTCAGTCTTTCCCCTGGATTCTGTCTTTTCTTTAAGGGGTAGAAGGTGTGGAGGATGGCTCTGCCCCGGGTCCTGGTGTGAAGGACGTCTCTGCCCCGGGATTCTGGCATGGAAGACCCCAGGGCTGGGGGAGGAGTTGCCTTGGGGGGCCTGGGCCCCGTTTGACCTTGCTTGGGTATTGGTACCCCCATCGCAGGCCTGCTTGTTGTAGGAGGAGAGGTTTTCATACCCTCCTTCCCTGTACAAGTATGATTTGGGTTCGGTTCCTCGTCGGGTACGGTTCTGGATTTCCCTGGGTTCTTCAGTTCGTTCCTTCCAGAGGTTTTCGGCTTCTCGAATTTTGCCTAAGGTGGTTCGGGAGGCCATCGCGGCTTACTTCCTGCGTGACCTAGATTACGCCTCGGTGGTGAATCCGTCTTCTTTAAGTTCGGTTTGACCTTTCCCTTTTGGGTGCATTACGTGGTACTGGAGTCTTCCTGGTTAGCAGACTGCCCATTCTTTTCGTTGGGAGCATGGCATGGATTTTGTCGGAGCCGCACGCTTGATTGGCGGAAGTCTTCCACCATGGCACAAGTTTACCTGGATTGCGAGTTTGAGCGCCTTAATGCGTGCTTGTTTGCCCCTGTGCTTCCTCTGGATGTTGGTGTTGTGCAGTTTCACGTGCAGGTTCCCTCCCTTTCTTCTGCTTTGGTAGCTGAGGATTTGCACTCCCGTGGGCATTTGGCCTCGGTCTTGCGTTTCTTTTTCCTTCTCATGCTGACCTTGGACTGGCTCTAGGAGGATTTGGGGGCGCTAGGTGCCTGGTCTTTGTCTGATGTGCTTGCCTCAGCAGCTAAGGTGTCGGCTGCCCTGTTGAAATTGTTTGTGCCGATACTCAAGGAGGCGGTGTGTCTGTTTTTTTGCTTCTCGCCTCGCATGCCGACAGGTGGTGCTTGCTCATTCCTTGGAATCTGCTTGGGCTCTGGCTCCTAGGCTTTCGTCGCTCTTTTCGTCCGTTGCTGATTGTGGAGTTTGCTGTCTCACAGTTTCTGCAAGCAGCTTCGTCTAGTTGTCGTCCCTTGTCAAACTTGTTGGTTCTCCTGGGGGGGGGGAGGGGCGTGGCGGGCCTTCCTGGAAGGATTGTGCCATGGTTCGAGGCTCCTCTAGTCGTGGTGGGCCAGTGGTGCCAGTTTCTGAGATGGCGCTTCCTTCAGAGCCGGGGGCATCTGGTCCGCGCAGGGGTCGCTCTACTCATCGGTTGACTTCTTGTAAGGGGCGTTTGCCCTTTCGCGAGTCGCCCCGCTGACGGTGCGATGGGGGGGGGGAGGCTCTCGCTGTTTACTCATGCCTGGTCCCATGATTCATGGGCATTTCAGGGTCGTTTATTCCAGCTTGTGGTGGCATTGAGTGGCTACTCCCCCTCCGGGGGATTCAGGGCTAGTGGGGGCAGGCCTCTTCCCCTGCTCTGCATCAGGTCAGCTCAGAGTGGGTGTGCTTGGGCGTGGTCGAAATAACGATGTCACTCTGGTGGGTTTCCCGCCTGTTTCCAGTCCCGAAACAGAACTGTGCAGATCTGAGGTTCATTTTGGACTTGTCCTGCCTGGATCTTCTACCCCTCTTTTTGGATGACCACTCTGTCCCAGGTCTGGCTTCTCTTAGAGCAGGATGCATGGATGTTGTCCCTGGACCTCCGGAACGCGTTATGGCACGTCTCGATTCATCCGGGGTTCAGGGACTGGTTACGTTGAGTCGTGGTGACCCGTCAGTATTCAGGGTTCAGGTTCTGGTCTATCTTGACAACTGGCTGGTGTGGGCTCCCAGCCGGTTTGCTTGTCTGCTCGCCAAAGGTGTGGTTCTTTCCTAGCTCGCCAAGTTAGGGTTTCTGGTGAACTGGAGGAAGTCCCATCTGGTTCCGTCCTGGGTTCAGGTTTGGCTGGGTCTTGTGTGGGACTCTCGGACCGCTTCCATGTCTCTCCCTCTCGAGTCATTGCTGCTGCTGCAATCCCACCTTTGCCTGTTTTTGGAGGGCTCCTGGGTCACTCAGCAGTTGCTCGAGCAGTTGTGCAGGAGTCAGAACTTCGCCGTGCTTGTTTACCCGCTTGGTCGGGTTTGGCTTTGGCATCTGTTCTGATTCCTTTGGGGATGCCCCTTCTGCCTCTTCTCTCATGATCATTGGGTTTGGTCTCCTGGGGCCTTGTGTCGGTTGCTGCGTCGTCAGTTTCCTCTTCAGGCTTTTTGGGGTTCAGTGCCTTGGCGGCTACCCGAGCCCTCGCTTGATGTGTTCACGGACGTGTCGTCTCTCGGCTTGGTTTTTGTGACCAATGCTCACCAGGCCAGCCAGGAGTGATGGGGTCCGTCCTTCTGTTGGTGGTTCATTACTTGAACCGCAGGGGGTTTCTTCAGTCCTTGCCTCTTTGGGGCTGGCCACTTCGAGTGGCTTGTCTGCAGGCTTCTCAGGGTTTGACTTTCTGTGCGGTTCATATCTGGAGTGTCCAATGTCCTGCCAGACAGCCTGTCTTGGTTCATTCCCAAGTCCACTGAATGGACGGTCGAAGCCGACTCCTTCAGTTGGCTCTGCCGGACATACGGACTCCTGGAGGTGGACCTCTTCGCATCGGGGTGGTCTCGGCATCTCCTGATTTATGTGGCCCCCTTCCCTGACTGCAAATCGTTCACAATGGACACTTTTCAGCTGGACTGGTCGAGGTGGGGTTACCTGTACCTTTTCCTCCCCAACCCCCCTGGTCAAGCCTACCATGAGAAAGTAGTCCTCATGGCCCTTTGGTAGCCGGCTCAGCCTTGGTTTCAGGTGCTGCTTGCTCGGTGTGCGAACCCGGGGGCGTTTTCCGTGGCTCCGCCTCTTCCAACAGATCAGACTGGTTCAGTATCCAGCTGATTCGATCTTCTTCTCCGCTCTTTGCGTCTGGTCTGTTTGACGGGATTTATCACCATCTGTATGGTGATCAGGTGGCTTCTTTGATGGTGTCCCACCTGCATGCTTTGTCTTGGCGACAGTATGAAGTTTCCTGCCATTCTTTTTGTCATTTTCTTTCTCTTTGTTAGTTGTCTTCTATTTTGGGTTGGGTTGTTTTGTCCTTTCTTTGCTTTTTCAGACCAGTCACTTAATTCCTAATACTGTCGCCTCATATCGTGTGGTGCTGGCGGAGCTGTTTTTGCTTGCATTTGGAGTGGATGTTACTACAGCCTTGTTCCGTAAGCTTTTTCGTACTTTGTTTCACCTCTGGTCTGCTCATGCGCCGCCTGAGCCGTCCTTTTCCTTTGGACAGGGTGCTCTCCTTTCTCTCTTCTCAGTTCGTGGTAGCCCCTTCGGTTCAGGATTGCTTTTCCAAGGCTCTTTCTGTTAACATTGGGCTCTGGGGTTCAGGTTGGTGAGCTTCATGCTCTCCTCCGGCGCAGGGTTTTCAGTTCCTTCGGTCCTGGTAGTCAGTTTGTTAGTTTGCAGCCTTCTTTTCTGGCAAAGAACGAGACAGCTGCCTTTCAGAGTTGTCCTTGGGTCATTGATGCTGGGGTTGGTCAGGCCGGAGGTGCATCATGCGTTGTGTCCGGTTGCAGCTCTTTACCATTACCTGCACACCTCGGCTTCTGTGGCCGGGGATGCGCTTTGAGTTGATCCGGTTTCCCTCATTCCCTGTTCCAGGGATCAGAGTCCCCTAGGTCATCCGCAGGGTTATTAAGTCTAGCCAACCTGCGGTCTATCCTCGTGCCCACGACGTTCAGAGCTTTGTTGCCATCTTCGGCAACATGTCTTAGACTGATATTCATGCACTGGGATTTTGGAGGTCGAACAGGGTCCTGGCCGCCTGATATTTGGTTAACCTTCCTGGTCTTGGGCGTTCATGTGTGGCTTTAGGTCACAGGCTGCAACCCGTTGTCCTGCCTTTGAGTTTAGGGGCATGTGGTGGCCGCCTCCCGGGTAAGTCCCTCCTTTACTTATCCTTGGTGATGTAGCTCCAGGAAGCCGACAGAGCTCCCCACAGAAAATGAGCGTTGAATGTAATGAAACACCATTTTCTGTGTGAGCCCCAGAGGCTCCCTGGCATCCTCCCTCCCTCCAGTTGGCGCTTTTGTTTTGCTTTTGATGCGTACCCTCCGAACTGGCACGGAAGAGCGACCCAACGTTGGGGGTGCAACGTTTGCTTGTTTCCTTGGAAGTTGAGGGGAGTTCTACCTCTCTCAATTCAGCTTTCAGTTGCATTTTTCTTGCCATGTGGGGTCTGTTCTGTTATTCCTACCTTTCTGGGTACCTAACCCCAGTCAATGGCAGATAAGGTTAACCCCCAACCATGGGAATTTTCCCGGGCCATTGCTCCTTGTGCCTCTCTGAGGGGGCCGTGTTCTGGCTAGTGGTCCCCAGTAGATAGAATTCCATTGACTATTTACCTGGCATAAAGATTGCGTATTAGTTCGATAGCTCCATGGAGCCTCCAAGGCTCACCAAGAAAATGGCATTTCATTACATTCAACGGTGTTTTTTTTTTACTTATCTGTGGTTATATAGCTTCAGGGAGCCGATGGGGCTCACCTCAGAAAACTAGCATTGAATGTAATGAATGCCATTTTCTGGGTTGAGCCCCTGAGGCTCCGTGACACCCTCCCTTCCTCTGGTCGATGGTCTGTTATCAGTCTACGAATTGCCGATGTGAGTGCTTGGGCCACATAGGCAGGGCGGAGGGGTCGCTAACGAGTGGGCGCACTGCTTGGGTAGACATTTGCTTGGTTTGTTGTTTTCTCTTGGGGGTGGGGGTGGAATCTTCATCTCTGTTCGGTCTTGAGTTACAATGTTTTACCAGTTGGGACTTGTAATTGTTCACCTACCTTTCTGGAGGTCGATGGCAAACATGACTGTACTGTACTCTCAAAAGTGTAGTGTTCATAAGCCAATGATTGCTCTCTTCGACTCTGAGGGAACCAGGTTCTGGTTCGTGGTTCCCAGTAGGCATAAGGACTCCAGTAACTGATGCTCTAGACTAATATGACGGTTTTTACATTATCACAGAGACCCCAGAAGCTCATCAGATCCTTGCTGATTGGGGTTTGAAGCTGCATGATTGCACTGTACCACTGGAAGGCCGCATCCTGCCTCCTGAGACCATCTACTTTGCAAATAATACGGTGCCTGGTTTAGACATAGCTGACTGGGGCCGGGATGCTTGTAGGGAGAAAGTCATTGTCCCCGTAAGTACTCAAGAAGCTGAGAATTAATTGTTTGTGGCTTAGTATATGAGTCTTAGACATGAAATATAGGGATTGGTAATGCTTTTGGTGGCTGTATAGCCATTAAACTATAATAAAATACAGTGTTAACTCTGAATTTAATATACAACCACAGGTAGAATGAAGTGCTTCAAGCAACTTTTAACAGCAACTATGCAAACTGCAGACCAGACATGACAGGGCTGAGCTCATTAAAACTTTTAACATACTGAACAACTTGGAGGATATTGATCCAGACCAATTCTTCAAAAGGTCAAATGTAACATGAACAAGGAGCATTTCTCCTGATGGGAGGTTCAAGCTCCATCAGGAGAAAACAAGAGATGCGTTTTCACCAATAGGGCTGTAAACCCACGGAAACACTTACCCACTTAAGCATAAGTGCCAAAACACTGCTGCAATTTAAGATCAAAATAGTTAAAATCATCAGGACAAATGTGGGGACCTTTGACAAGCTGCTGGCTTCCTGTCCTCATTGACACTTGAGAGACAGCAGCCCTCTTAAGTGTCTTTACAATAATGTATATTCAATGAAAAACTTTCCAATTGTCAGTAGGGCTATATAAATAAAGTTTTGTAAAACCCCAGTGCACCCCAACACAACCAAAGAATGCCCCCAACCTAGTGCCCAAACAAAAAAAAAGGCTCAAGACATTATACGGAATTGTGCAAGACAGATTTAAGAGATGTAGTTAACTATTACAGCTTATGTAATAAGATGTAATAGTTAAATGTATTACATTTAGTATTAGTATTAGATGTACTGTATTACTAGTCTGCTTTGCACTTTCAGGAGGTGATGGGTATGCTGTATTATATGATACGATACTAATATGCCAAAGATTAATGGTCTTTTCTGTGGGGAGCCCCTACGGCTCCCTGGAGCTTATCGGGCTAATGTATGTTATATTAGACCGGGACATTAGCTAAGGAGTTCAGACCTACCAGGGACCAGCGCCAGAACCTGGCCCCTTCAGAGAGGTTTCAGGGAGCAATGGCCCTGGAAACCCCCTTGTGGTTGGGGTTTTCCTTATCTGCCATCGACCGGGGTTAGGAACCCAGAAAGGTAGGCATAACAAAACAAACCCCACATGGTAAAAAACTAAAACAAAAAAACAAACAGAGAGGTAGAAATTCCCTACAATCCCAAGGAACAAGCAAACATCACACTTTACTGCTGCGCCCAGGCAGCATGATGGAGATAAAAGTGGCGACTGTCACCCGGAGACAAGGGTGACAGTCGCATCCAAGGGCATCCAACGATCCCGTACAAGACGGGTTGGAACCCGGAAGACACATTCAATGGTCCACCGAGTCCAGACAGGGGTTTCCAGGGCCCGTAGGCTGACTGCTACGGGAAGCCCGGGCAAGGTGTTTCTAATCGATTAAGAACCCAAAAATAACAAGAGGGTAGAGGATAGCACTGAAAACCCCTGCGATGTGTACAATCACGGGGGGCCTAGCAGAGGGCCGCCAAACACTACCAGTGGAACTATAGCCACACTGGGCAGACCCCCACCAGGCAATTGAAAATAAAAAAAAGAAAACCCCCGCAAAAGTACACCGTCTCCAGAGGCAACAGGAACCGGTCACCGCTTAGGTGGCAGGCCGTGTAACACCTTGACGCCCTAACCAGCGCAATACCAATCCCTACCCAGGGCCAAACAAGGGCCCCAAGCCCCAGCTGGCCCCAAGGGCGAGGCAAATGCTGAAAAGCAAGAACCTCTACAGGAATGGTTCCCGAACGCCCCAGATAAGATAACCCTGTCACGCAGGGGCAGTACTCACAGGGCGCTTAGGGAAGTCAGCCAATAAGCGCATCAGCCCCAGCACTGATGAGGTACTCCTGGCCACCACACAACACAACACACGGCAGTGAATGCCACACAAGGCAAACACCGCCTAGGAAACTGAGGCCAGAGAAGCATCTATCCCGGTTGACATTAGTTTACGAACTGAAGCTTGGCAGCCGGCGCGGTAGGTCCTGGGCTCCCCCTCCCCCTCTCGGGGCGGGGAGGGCTGCGCGGACGATCAGCGCGGCAGTAAAGTGTAATGTTTGCTTATTCCTTAGGATTGTAGGGAGTTTCTACCTCTCTGTTTGTTTTTTTGTTTTAGTTTTTTACCATGTGGGGTTTGTTTTGTTATTCCTACCTTTCTGGGTGCCTGACCCCGGTCGATGGCAGATAAGGAAAACCCCAACCACAAGGGGGTTTTCCAGGGCCATTGCTCCCTGAAACCTCTCTGAAGGGGCCAGGTTCTGGCGCTGGTCCCTGGTAGGTCTGAACTCTTTAGCTAATATCCCAGTCTAATATAACATACATTAGCCCGATAAGCTCCAGGGAGCCTCCGGGGCTCACCCAGAAAATGGCGTTTCATTACATTCAACGCTGTTTTTTTCTGTTTTTTTTAGGTAGATGTGAAGCCACGCTGTTGGTTGATGCTCTTCTGTGCTAAAGATCAACAACGGGCTCACAAATTTGGAGACATGTTGAAGCAGGTTACCCGCAACATGGGTATCCACGTTGGAGAACCACAGATGGTTTATCTGCCAAATGACGAGACTCAAAGCTACGTTAACAGCTTAAAGCAGTTCTATCATGATGCGGTAATATGCAGATTCCTTATTAGTTTAATGAGTGTTTTGATATTACAGTAATAATGGAGGTCAAGGTAAGACTGTTAAAGAGAGAAGTGTATAACTAGTGTATGGGGCTTAATCTGAGTAAATTGTCATACAGTACCTCTTTTAGACGAGTTGATTTTTTTTATTGAGATGTATTAAACAAGACTTAATATTTGTAAGTAAGATATAATAAATAAGCTTCATAGAGACCTGGCCTCCATGTTAAAAGACTTGACTTACCTGCACAGAATTGTTAAAATAATCAAATGATTCAAGGTATCATAGTAGAAAACAAAAACTCGGTAATTATACTTGTATACAAACCCTCAAGTTCAACAGTGGAAACAGTCATTGAACAGATGAGAAATATTGAGAACTGCCTAGAAAACTAAGTACCAAATATTATCTTACTAGGAGACTTAACATTCCAAATTTGAGGTGGAAGGTGATGAGCAATAATGATATGCTGCTAGAAAAATGTTGAGGAAGTAGCCTAGACCAGCAAACATCCACCAGAGAACTGAGGAACCTTCATAACAAGTTCACAATGAACCAACTGATAGTTGAGCCAACTAGCGGAGTTATTTACAACCCTTTGATAATTTCAGGAAGGTCAAGGGAGGAATATGATAAATGCAGTGAAACATGCCTAAACATAATAAAAAAGTCAGCACAATGGCAAGGAAAGCAAAGATTCTAATAATTGGGAATTTTAACAAAAAGGAAATAGACTGGTCAACAAGGAATCCTCAGAGGGAAATGAAGCATGGAGAGCAAGATTTGTGAACATTACAAATGCTTCCTGTGGCAGCATATCAAATTTGCCATCAAGAGAAAGACGAGGTGATTTACCACCTACCCGAGACATGGTGTTTATCCCAAAATGTAGATAGCTTAAAATATGAGGCACCATTAGGTGCCAGTGACCATTATCTTATTTGATCTCTTAGGCGAGCAGCCCCAGTACCTAGGGGCTGCTTACCAAAAAATTAGATATGTTGGATTCTTCTTAGTTTTTTACTTTTGGGATCCAGAAAACCCCGTGCAGTTTTCAGTAGGGCTCAGCATGGTCTGGCCCTCCAAGTCTGCACTCATTAGTGCGAGTTAGCAGGTTGTCCATCAGTGTTGTTGCATTCTGATGGCCATTCCTTAATGCCTCTGTTTTACTACCTGTGGGTGATTTGATCCCCGCCATCCTGGGGCCTGTGACTTTTGTTGTTATGATGTCACTGACTAAGAAATGGGCTCCTTCCCTGGGGTGTGGGGTGTCCATCCTGTGGGATGGTGTGATGCATTCCTTGTTTCCTACTTTGTGTCACCCTCTTGAAGGGGGTGGTGGGTTTTCATCCCTTGTAGGCCCTTATAGCTTTGGGATTTTCACATGCCTGGGTGCTTTTCTAGTTTGTTAATTACAGGTTTTTCTAGGTAGTTTGTTGACCTGGTGATCTGTTCTACAGGTTTCTTGTTTGTTGTTAGTTTGATTTCCTGTCCCTGCTTGACTTAAGGAAAACAAAGTGGCTATTCACCTTTTAAAATCTTTGGTGCATCCTAATCCAAACTACTGTATTCAACAAGTTTAAAAGAGAAACTAAGAAATATTTTACTACTATCATATAAATTTAAATTGCATTTCCACATCCAATGTAAAATATAACTGAATTTTCTGTGGCGAGCCTCTCCAGCTCCCTGGAGCTATCAGATTGTTATACGATATATTAGTCTGGGGCTTCAGTCAATTGGAGGTCAGCCAACCGGGGACTACGAGCCAGAACCTGTCCCTCTCAGAGAGGCAAAGAGAGCAATGGCCTATGAAAACCCCCTTGTACTTGGGGGCATTCCATGCCCCCAAGTACAAGGGTGCTAACCTATGCCTGGGTGCTAGCACCCAGAAAGATAGGCATAACAGACCCCACAGGGTAAAAAAAATTGCAACTGAAGACCAAACAGTGAGGCCGAACTTCCCCAACCTAAAGAAACAAGCAAACGTTACACACTACTGCTGCGCCGCTTATCCACGCAGCCTTTCCCTTCCCGGAAAGGGGAGGGGGAGCCCTAGACTCCTCCCCCCCCTCTATACCAGCTACTCACATCTCCAGTTCGTTGGCTGATGCGATCTGGGGAGGTCATCAACTCTGGCCTCGATTTCTTGGCAGTGTTTATCCGTTGTGCTCTCTGCTGTATTATGGTGCGATGTCCAGGTGTAACTTCAGTGTACTGGGGCTGCGTGTGCTTAGAGCTACCTTCACTAAGTGCCCTGTAAGTACTACTCTTGGGTGCTAGGGTTGCCTTCCATTGTGCCTTCGAGAAACCACTTCAGTAGGGGATCTTGCTGCTTGGCTTTTGAACAATGTTGCTGGCCCTTGGGGCCAGCTGGGGTTTCGTGGCCTTTGTTTGGCCTCGGGTAGGAAGTGGTCTTGTTGCTGGTTGGGGAGTAAGATGCTATGCAGCGGCCATGTGCTTATTCCTTCTGGAGATGATGTACTTTTGGGGTTTTTTCTTTTCTTTTTTTTTCCTTGCCAGGAGGGAGTCTGCCTTGTTTGGTTATTTGTCCACATAAGGTTGTTGGTGGCCCTCCTCTAGGCCCCCCATGTTTGTGCACGTGCACAGGGGTTCAGTTTTTAGCTTGTTCCCCTTTGTTAACTCTTGGATTTGACAGGCTTTGTAGCACATTACCTGGGCTTCCCATAGCAGTCAGCCTGCGGGCCCTGGGAAACCCCATTGGTGTACAGTAGACTGATGGATGTGTCTTCTGAGTTCCAGCTTGCCTTGTGAGAGTTTGAGTATTACTCTGTACCCTTGTCTCTGGTTGACAGTCAGCTCTTTTTCCTCCATCATGCTGCCTGTTGGGTCGATGACACCTTTGACTCTGAGTCTTGGGAGACATGTTCTCTGTTCATGCTCCAATTTACCCTTTCTATTGTCACTGAGGTTCGGGTACAGGCGGTATCTGCGTTGCATGCTTAGTTTAGGTTGCTGCAATGTGCTAGGTTGGTTGCCAACTCAGATGCCCCAAGGCTACCCCGTTTTGGTTAGGAGTTGTTTGACCTGTCCCCCCCCCCCACCCTGGTCCCAGCTTCGAAACGTCCGAGGGTTTTGGGGTTGGGGCAGAGTTTAGTTGGCGATGAGACTCGGGCAGCTTCAGAGGCTGCCCCATTCAGGGTTGGGGACGGAGGCATTCGAGCCTGCTCCTCCTGCCGAGGCTTATGGGTCCTACCAGCAGACCCCCTTCTTTGCTACCTTTTCCCTGGACTCGGGTAGGTAGCAATGTGGAGGACGTTTTCTTCAGGGGTAGTGGGCGTGGAGGACGTTTTCTTCAGGGGTAGTGGGCGTGGAGGACGTTTTCTTCAGGGGTAGTGGGCGTGGAGGACGGCTCTGCCCTGGGGTCTCTGTTTGGGGGGGAGCCTGCTAGCAGTTTTGGATCTGTTTGCCCTACTTGGGCTTTGTGCCTTCTGGGCAGGGTTTTTTTCATCCCTCCTCCCGTCTGCTTTGTTTCCCACATTTGCTGGCGTGATTTCAGCTCCCTTGCATCAGCCGCATCTCCTTTTGTTTTGGTGGCCATTTTCTTTTGTGCTGGGGCTTCCCCGCCTGGCCGCCAAGGCGGCACTGCCATTTGTTTCCGTGTGCCTGAGAGTTTGTGCTCGTGTTTTGGGGGCATTTTTTCACTTCCGTCTGGAGTTTTTTATCCTCCCGTTGCTGTGTGTCTGTTTTGTTCTTTCTTATGGGGTTTTCTGCCCTTTCTGTTCCTCTGAGAACGTTGAGGTGTTGGTATTTTATGCCCAGTTTTGTGTTTTTTTTTGTGTGTGTTTGGGTTCTGGGTCCTGGTTTTTAGGCCCAGTGTCCGTGCCTGTTTGCTCTGCTTGCTCCCATGTCTTTTGATCTCTGTTTTCGGTCCATTTCTGGTTGTTTTCAGCTGGGGTTTTGTCTAGATCATGTATTGTGCCCTTTCTTTCTGTGGTGCATTTTCCGCAGGCAAATGTGGTGGTTAGGGCTTCCCTCGGGTTCGTTTCTGGGTTCCTTTGGGCTCTTTGGTTTCGTTCTGGAGGTTTTCTTCTTCTCGTGTTCCCCTTTAGAGGTTTGGGAAGCCCTTGGTGGTTCCCGCCTGTGCGCCTCGGACTTGCTTCTTCTGAGGTTCCGGGGTCTTCCTGGCTTGCAGACTGCAATGCTTGGATCTTGGCACATGTTTTGTGGTTGTGCTGGGGCTCCGGCTTTTGATTGTCGAGGTGGGCCTTTGGTGCAGCTTTTGTGCTGGTGCCTCCTCCGGAGCCGTCTTCGTCTGGTCGGGGCGGTGCTTGCTCTGCTCGCAAATTGTCTTATTTCTTTTCTTTTACTTTTGTTTTTCTGGGGGGAGCCCTCCTTCGGCTCCCCGGAGCTATCCAGGCTGATATGTATATCATTAGACTTTGGCATCAGTGTGAATGGAGTTCTAGGTCTACCGGGGACCCTGGTTGATGGCAGACATGGAATGCCCCCAAGTACAAGGGAATTTCCATAGGCCATTGCTCCCTTTGCCTCTCTTAGGAGACCAGGTTTTGGCTCGTGGTCCCCGGTAAACTGAACTCCAATTGACTGATGCCCCAGACTAATATATCGCATATCAGTCCAATAGCTCCAGGGAGCCTCCGGGACACACACAGAAAATGGCGTTTCATTACATTCAATGCTTGTTTTTTTAAGTCATGCCCAAATTGCCATGCATAATAGAGGATTTATTTAGTAAGCATTTTTTGTAACAAGTATTCAACAACTGTACTGTATATTTTAATTAAAGGTGTTACATGTATTATTATTATTATTTTTGTTATTATTATTATTATTATTATTATTATTATTATTATTATTATTATTATTATTATTATTATTATAAAAAGGCATTTTCATTAAATTTAACAACGATTTTTGGAGGGGCCAAATATTGGCTTGCTGAAGCTATGTGCACTAAGATAGCCCCAAACATGAGTCACATCAGCTGTATAAGTCTTCAATACCCAACCAAAGACCAGAGCCAGAACGTCACAGAGGTGCAGAGAACAGATGATTGTTAGGGTTTCCCCTCTAAGGAAACTTCAAGAAATTAAGTGAAGCAAAACAAACAACTGCAAGGTTTACAGAGAAATGAAATGACTACAAACAATTCACTCGGTAGTTAGTTCGAGTCCCCTAGTTACAGCAGCAGACTAATGACAGGTAGTGCCTCCACTGGGAACTGCTGGCTCTCATGTCAACATTCTTCAGTCCATTGTCTGAAGCTTAGTAGTTTAAATGATCCTTGAGTTACCTACCTTCAAGTCCCAACTGTTTCTCAGTAAGTGTTGCCATCCTTTGGACTCGGCCCTTTGAGGGGCTCATTTGCTTGTGTATCATTTCAAGATTTTGTATCAGCTCCACATGCATGTGTTTACTAGTCTCACTTGCTGTGTGAAGTTTGGAGTCCTTTTCCCACTGAGCTGTATGTGCTTATGGAAGTCCTTCCCTAAGGGCTCATTTAGTGATGCCCCCTGCCTTGACACAGTACATTCTCTAATGCACTCTGGTGTTTATCTCATAAAGGCCGCTCTATGGCATAGGGTTCCATGCCCACAGTAATGCAAGGGTCATTGACTCCTCTGCTAAACTCTGAGGTTGGAGGCATTCATGTTTTCTAGAGGGGAACTTCCCTGTGACTAATTGCAGCTATCTTGCTGATAGCTAAGTGGTCCTCACCCTTAAGGTAAACCAGTGGTCTGTGGCTGTCTGTCATCCCAGGGGCTGGGACTGGAAGTGTTTTCTGGCTGGTGGTGTGCACTCGAAGCTGCACGACCAGTTATTCAATTAACACATAGGCATGCGGACATTTCTCCCTGGTTGCTCGTTCTCCGTGGTTTAGTCTTTTTTTTTTTTTTTTTTTTTTTTTTATATATAGTTTTCACTTTGCTCATTCTCTGCTTGGGGGTTCTGCCTTTCCTCTTATTAGGCTTGCCTAGGGTGTGTGCTGCTGAGCCCCCTTGCTGCCCCCTTTGGCCTTTCCATTGGCCTTGGGTAGCCAGGGTTGTTGTCAGCAGGGTTTACCAGTGTAGCATTCCAATGCCTGGGCTTCCTGCAGGGCTCATTCACTTTGCAGGCCCTGAAAATCCCCTATGGGTTCGGTTGTACTATGGATACCTTTTCTGAGCCAACTCTTGTCTTGTGTGATTTTGAAGGTTGTTCGTCACCTGTTTCACTAGTGACGTTCATACATTCTGCCTCGGCCATGCTGCCTGTTAGGTCAGTGACACCTACGACCCTGAGTCATGTGGAACTTCTTGTTCTCATGTGCTCCAGCTTACCTGCTCCTCTGTTGAAGTTCAGAGGTTTTAGGTGGCGACTGCTCTGCACTTAAGGATTTTGGTGTTTTCATTGTTCCTGGCTGGATGCCCCAGATCTGCCCTGCTTAGTCTTTAGGGACTTGGATTTGGGGTGTTGATTAACTCGACTTTTGTTCTGTCTGCACATCCTCTTCCTTCCCCAGTGGGCCGGTTTCGCCCATCTCCTCCCTCCCTGCTTCCAGCTCTAAATCATCCGAGAGTTTCAGAATCGAGTCAGGGTTTAGCTGGAGATGTGGCTTGGGCAGATCCGTGGTTGACCCCTTCAGATGCAGAGGCAGTTGAGTCTCCAGGTCCTGCATAAGCTTCTGGGTCTTCCCAACCGACACCTTCCTTCGAAATTTTTCCCTTGGATTTTACTTTTTTTTCCCGGCTGGTGGGTGTGAATGGAAGCTCTGTTCTGGGGCCCTCTTCTGAGATTCCTGGGGCTTGGAGGGAGTCGGAGTGGAGCTCTTGGATTCCTTTTGACTTTTTTTGGGCCCTTGTGGCTTCAGTGAAAGGTCTTTGTTGAAGGGTAAGGGGCTTTTATATTCCCCTTCCCTGTATGAGTGATTTGGGTGCGACATTCCCTAGGGCTCGTTTCCGTGTTGTTTGGGTTCCTCGGATTTGTCCTTCTTGAGGTTTCCTTCCATGTTTACCGAGTAGAGGTTCACGAGGCCTTGGGTGCTTATCTCCTGCGTGACCCGATTTATGCCTCGGTTATGGATTCGGCCTCCTTTGAATTCAGATCTTCCCTTCCTTATTGGGTGCATTACAAGGTTCTGTTGTCATCATGGCTGACAGATTGTCTTTGTTTTCCTTTGGGGCTGGGAGTTGGTTTTGCCATATCTGCATGGTTAATTGGCAGGTCACGACTGTGCTGCAGGCATTTCTGGGAGGGCTCTCTCTTGAGCCTTTAAATGCATGCCTCTTCGATCCTGCACTTTCCCATAACATGGGTCTTGTGCAGCTGCATGCTCAGGTTTTCCTTCTGTCAGCTGCTTTCGTTGCCAATGACCTACATAGCAGTTTGCCCTTGACTTCTGTCATGTGTTTCCTAAGTCTCCTGGAGCTTCATTCTAATTGGCTCTCAGAGGATGTCGAGACGCTCTGTGAGGTTCCTCTTGCGGGGATTTTGGTCTCTGCATCTTCAGCATCAGCTGCCATCATGAAGCTGTATGCTCCAATCCTCCAGGAAATGGTCTACTTGTGTTTTGCTTCCTGTCTCACGTGTCGGCAGGCTGTGCTCTCCTGATCCGTGGACTCGGCATGGGTCCTGGCTCTTACTTAGTCTTCACCATTTAGTTCTTTGCTGTGTCCTGAGGACAGTGTGTCTCAGTTTTTGTCTGTGGCTGATGGTTGCCATCCTGTGTCAGATATATTGAGTATCCAGGGGGGTTGGTCTTGACTTTCCCTGTAGCATGGTAGAACCAGGGCTTCGCCTGCTGTTGCTCGGTGTGTCTTCTGTGGTGCTAGCAGCCAGGTCGGATGTGCTTCCCTAAGCCTGGCCTTCTTTGTCTGGTCAGTACCTGTTGGCTGTGCTCAGAAGGCTGGTTCTCATGGTTCATACTGGCCCTTTTGCGGGTTGCCTTTTGATGGAGCTGTTATGTGTGGCTAGCTCAGTTTGCCAGCTCTTGGTTCCACGATTTATGAGCTTTTCAGGTTGTCTTGTGTCCTATAGTAGAGTTGGGTTCAAAGTCTCTTCAAGAAGACTAGACCTTTTTCCTCTCCTTGTCTTCGTAGAGTCATCTTGAAGTGAGTGCATTCAGGCATGGTAATGACTACGTCTCTTCAGTGGGTCTCCCACCCATTTCTGGTCCCGAAACGGGATTGTTCGGGCATCCTGTTCATTCTTGATATTTCCTGATTGAACTAGTTCATTCCTTGCCCCTCCTTTCAGATGACAACATTGTCCCAGGTATTGTCCGGGCCTACAGGATGTGTATTTGCATGTCCTTATTCATCCGGGGTTCAGGGATTGGTTAGGTTTCATGGTAGGATGACAGGCTTATTGCTTTTGGGTTCTCTCATTTGGGCTGAATCTGGCATCTTGGGTTTTTATTTTATTTTCTCATTTAACTCTGGTCGTGGTGGCCCATCTTCATTTGTTAGGTCTTTGGGTGTTGGCCTACCTTGACAACTGGTGGGTGTTGGCATACAGCTGGTCTGCTTGTCTGCTAATCAGGAATCTGGTTCTTTCACAGCTCACCGGATTTGGGATCCTTTTGAAGTGGCTGAAGTCCCAGTTTGTTTATTCCCAACAACTAACTTAGGATTCTCGGTCAGTGTTGCTTTCCCTGCCTCCTGCGGCCTTGCTCCAGCTGCAGGGCCACCGTCTGTTGTTGATGGGAAGCCAGGTGACTCGGCTGTTGCTTGAACAGCTGTGTGGGAGCCTGAACTTAGCCCTTCTGGTTTACCCATTAAGTAGAGTTTGGCTTCAGAGGCTGTTTTGGTTCTCTTGGGGCAGCCCCTTTTGGTGCTCTTGTGATCACCGCACCACTCACGTGATTTCCGGCGCTGTTTTCTTGGTGTTTGAACCCCGAGCATTTTTCCGCAGCTCCACCGCTTTCACAGGGCCAGGCCATTTACATACTTCACTGGTTCGGCCTTCTCTTTTGCTCTATGCGTCTGGAGTTTTTATGTGTATTTATCACCATTTGTATGGTGGTGGGTAACTGGGTTAATGGCGTCCCACCTACGGTCATCTTCCAGGCAACAGTATGAGGTTTCTTTGCAGTCTTTTTGCCATTTTCTCTCCCTTCGTTGTTGCTCTTCGTTTTTTGAGCGAGTTGTTCACCTTTCTTTCTTGGGTGTTTCTTGATCAGCATCTCATGCCATATACTATCGCCTCTTATTGTGCGCCGTTGGTGGAGCAGCTCCATCTTGCCTTCAGGTTGACACTTCAGCCTTGTTTCACAAACTTTCTCGCGCTTTGTTTCACCCCCAGCCTGTTCATGCGCTGCCCGAGCCTGCTTGGTTTTTGTACCAGGTTCTCTCTTCTGCCTATTTCATGGGGCGCATCCAGTGATGCGCATCCCAGCACATCTGTGAGGGGGGGGCCAGGTTCTGGCTTTGGGCTCCAGTAGGCTATTATGGACTCCTAGGGCTGATGTGTTTTGTGTGTGTTGAGCGCTCTCAGTGCAGCTAACTTCAGGAAGCCACAGTGGCCCAACCAGAAAGAGGAGTTTCATTACTTTCAATGTTAGTTTTTTCTTTCAGTTGCAGTTAGCAGTCATTATATTTCCTAGCCAGCGTGAGGACCGCTATGCGGCAGTGAAGCGTGTTGCATGTCTTGAATTGGCCCTCGCAACCCAGTGCATTATGTCTCGTACTATTAGCCATGATGCTAAATTACGCTCTGTCACTCAGAAGATTGCTTTGCAAATTAACTGCAAACTAGGTGGAGAACTTTGGGCTCTCAAAATCCCAATAACTGGACTTATGGTAGGAAAAGTTTTGTTGTTTGTGAATTTAAATTTTGTTTAAATGTTTTTGTTAATGGATTGATTTAATTATACCAGGAAAGATTCCACAGGAAAAAAGAAACCCATAGCATGGACTCCTCAAGCATCGTACAGTCCGATACCACCCTAGTTTAGCCACAAAGCTACAGGGAAAGGTCACTCAATACTGAGAAGGCCCATGGTGGACACACAAGCCCCTGCAAAGACAAACTTTGACAACTCCAACTAGAACATGAATAGGAGAGCAGAATTGACTGCACCCACAACCAGAGCAACACCCACATAATGAATAGGCACTTGAGAACCCCAATTGCAAGATAGCTGTGAGTCAAACAGAAGCTAAACATACACTGAAACCAAAAAAAATGCTTCCAGTGTTGTGATAGCATGAGCCCATGACCATAAACACCTTTTTTCACAGCACGGCTATAAAATTTAGCATGACTAACATGAACATGATTACCCACATGAAAATGCATAGCGTTTGGCACGAAAGTTACTATCACACACACATTATGCGAAGGTGACATCACTCGCTCTCGCTACCAACACCACCACCTTGGTTAACAACAAGATCAATTTCACTGCCATCACTATTACAATCACTACCACCAGTATCACATCACTGAACTATAAAAAGGGAACCATCATTTATCTACAGTCTCGGCATCACTGAAAAATAATTTGCATACTGGGCCATCACTTTGTACGGGTGGTCAACAAGTAGAATGCATTGAAGGAAAAGCTTGTTGAAGTCAGTTCCATCCACAACTTTTAAGAAAAATATAATGAAATGTTAATGGTGAGAATGGTAATTAGCATGTCGGGGTATAAATGGCTAGAAGTGGGGAACATAAGGCGCTAGATCCCTCTGCCCTGTAGTCACTGATAGGCAAGCACTGGTAGGTAAGCACTCTCCTCTTGTGGGCTGTATCCAGGTTCACTTCTTTATACATATATACATTTTCCCCCTCATCTCTGAGGAACTCCAGGAACTGCATTTCTCTGTCTTCTGTGGTGGCATAAGGGGTATACTTGTGTAAGCATGAGCACTTTAGACTCGAGCTGGAGTCTGTGGCTTTGGGGCGCCTGTCACAGCCATCCGTCTCTTCCTCGTCTTGAGACCTGCAGTGCTGCCGCCTCCCAGGTATGTCCACTCCTTTTACTTGTCTTTGGTTAGTTAGCGTCAGTGAGCCGACAGAGCTCCCTATAGAAAACTAGAGTTGAATGTAATGATTCACTATTTTCTGGGTGAGCTGTGGAGGCTCCCTGACACCCCCTCCCTCAGGGAGGTAACAGTAGTTGGTAGTGCTAGTTGCATGAAGTGTTGCTTGTTGGGTTTCATTCTATGGGAGTTATTTTGATCTTGTTGGATGTAGATTGCACAGGTTAACCAGACAGTGGTCTGTTTTGATTCACCTTCCTTTCTGAGTCCTTTCCCAGTCAATGGCAATTATGACATACTTTACATTTAAAGTGCTCGTAGGCCATTGCTCTCTGTGCCTCTCTGAGGGAGCCAGATTCTGGCTTGTGGTCCCCGGTAGGCATAAGGACTGCTGTGACTGATGACCCCTAACTAATATAGCACATATAAGTTCGGATAGCTTCAGGGAACCTCCGGGCCTCACCAGAAAATGGCATTTCATTGCATTCAACTCTAGTTTGTTGGCCCCTGGAGATAAGTCTGTTAGGTTGCAATCTCTGCCCTCATTTCTGCCTAAGAACTAGTCTCCAGATTTTTGTCTGAGCTCCATTCTGGTGGATCCTCCTCATGGCTTCTGCTGATTTTCTCATTGATGCATCACATTAATGTGATTTCTTTGTGCATTTAAAGAGAAGTATTGGAGGTAGAACTTTTTTTTTTTATTATTATTTTCTACCACAAACGTGGCCACACATTTACAATGCTAACCAGCATTTATACATTTTCTTCTGTCCTCCATGGACAGGGTTAGAGATGTGTTAAACATATAGTTCAAGGGTTTATTGAACAATCAACCACAGAAGGTGATTCGGTGCTTTTAAAATGCTAAGCTAACCTACATACGTAAATACATAGATACACAAATTTACGTATGCCCTACATAAAGTGTTCGATGTGTCTTGTACATAGTGTCATTAATGTGCATTTACAAAGGTGAAATGTAATTCTGATCAACTTCCATATATACTTTATACACATACATATACATACACACACACACACATATATGTACACATAAATATATACATACATGTATACATACATATATACACACATGCATTCACATACATTTGTCTCTTTTACCCTGACAGAGTGAGATAGCTGATAGAGAAACTAATGTGCAATTAAGCACTTAATCACTGAAGGTGATGAAGGTGCTTTTACAAGCTCAGGTTATATAGTTACATCACATACATACATTATATAATTGATACATTACATGGTTAATCTTGGGTACAAGTCCAATATATCATTAAGTGTTCCAGTACTCGTATAGTAATTACACAGTTCAGCATACCTTAGCCCAGGAGGGCGAAAGTCAGTCAATATGGGACATTCTACAGTCTAGGAGGTAGAACTCCTAGACTATGACCAGAATGGGGGCAATGCATGAAATCCTGATTAAACTTCTTGGAAGCCCCAGAATCCTTAGAGGATTTAGATACATCCTAGGATGCATTACTTTTGACCATATTGTGGTGTAGTGGTCTAAGGTTTTGCTGGGAAATACCCAGATCATAGGTTCAAATCCTCCTCATGGCTCTTACTGATTTTCTCATTGATACATCATGCTAATGTGATTTCTTTGTCCAGGTGAGACATACTAATGGTTGGGACATACTGACTGGTGATATGCGCTGGCACACACGATATACATATTAACACATGCTTGAATCAACCTTAAGGTCCCAATACCTCAATGGCACAACCTTATGGGGTCAACCTGGTTGCCACCAGTTACCCCATTTTGTCTTATAAATGTTTGACTTTCTACAGGTGTGTGGCATTGATGTTTATCATGACCCAACTCGGCGCGGAGCATCGACAGTAGGCTTTGTGGCATCCATTAACCAGACTCTCACTAAATGGTACTCGCACGTCAGCTTCCAACACCCGGGTGATGAGATAGTGCATGGTCTTAAAATATGTTTGTTGGAAGCCATAAGGCACTATCACAAGGTTAGAATTCAGAGAAATGTGGGTATTGATATTCAAATTTTCAGAATTGTAGTTTAGATAAAAGTACAGTATTACAAAAATTATAACCTGATGACAGATTTCTGAGCTAATGGTCCTTGGATGTTTCCTTGAACCTGAATAAATAAATATACAGTGATAACTCTATTTTCAAATTTAATCCATTCCCAGAGACTTAAAAAATGGAAACAAATTTTCCCATAAGAAATAATTTAAATTTAATTGATCCGTTCCACACCCCTAAAAATATTAACTTAAAATACATTTTATACATATTACCACTTATATTTTGTACTCCAGTATGTACAAATACAGTGGCACCTTGACTTATGATTGCCCCTACTTACGATAATTTCGAGTTAGGATGTAAATTTCACCGAAAAATGTGACTCGACATCCGATGGTGTCGTCGACTTACGATATTTGTTGGTACACGTTCGGGTCGACCGAGCGCATGGTTACTGGTCACGCGGCCGACCTGCCTCAGTTTACTACAGCTGCCCACTTACTGACGATTGCGCCTATAAGAAATTTCGCTTTTGTGGTGATTTTTTTGCATTTTGAACATTAAAGTAATTATTATATATCATGCCATGAGTCCCAGGAAAGTCAGTGGTAAGGCTCAACATATGAGATCACATGTAAGGATGACCATAGAGCAGAAACAAGAGATCGTTCGTAAATAAAAAGATGGTGTGTGGGTTGTTGGACTGGCTAGGCAGTACAACAAATCTCAGTCAACGATATCCACCATACTGGCTAAGAAAAAGGACATTATGGGTGCTAAAGTGATGCATCATTACAGAAAAATGCTAAAACGAAGGGGAAAAACAAATGTCTCTTGACAAATTTGTAGTGAGACAAACAGGCACTGAACCACAACCAGGTCCTAGTGGTATTCAGGCAAAACGTAGGAGAGAGAGTAGCCCAGAGAAAACATCACTGCCTGATGTGATAATGGAAGGGGACTCCCCTTCCAAACAGCAACAACTCTCCTCGTCTCCCCTTATCACCATCTTCCATACGCCATCAAGAGCCCTCCATAAAGGTAAGATAAACTTAGGTACTGTATTGTAGTTAGAAAAAACATTGTAATTTAGTATAAAATGTGTTTGTATGTTAATATTTTGGAGGGTGGGGAATGGATTAATTCAAATCCCTTTATTTCTTATCGGGAAAATCGCTTTGGCTTACGATATTTCGACTTACGATCCGTCTCTGGGAACGGATTAGCATCGTAAGTCGAGGCCCCATTGTATATCTTACTTTTATTAAGGACTCATGTTGGCATGTGGAAGACAGTGAGGAAGGGGGGAGGAGGAGAGGTGTTAGTGTTTGGAAGGGAAGTCCCCTTCTATTATAACAGCAGTGATAACATTTCTGGGGAACTCTCTAACATTTTGCAAGCATGCCACTAGAATCTGGTTGTGGCTCACTGCTTGCTTGTCTTACTAAGAAGCTGTCTATAGACACTTGTTTTTCCCTACGTTTTATCACTTGTCTGTAGTGAGACATCACATTGTCTCGCTATAGATGATCTCTTGTTTTTCCTCTATCGTCATCCTCACAATTATTTTCTTAGGTTGAACTTTACCACTGACCTTCTTGGAACCTATAGCATGATATAAACAGTAAATAAAAAAATTTATGTTTAGAAACCAAAAAAGCACAAAAACAGTTAAATTCTTTACTAAGAATTCTAGTGCAGTCATCACTAGGCGGAAAACACTGGTAAACTGAAGCGCGCCACATGCTCGGTCGGCCCATACGTGTATCAACAAACTCGAGCACCAAGACAAACCTCAAGTACCGAGTTAAATTTTTCAAAGAAATTGAGCTTGAGAACCGAAAAATTTGAAAATGGGCATTAAAAAATTGAGGTTCCACTAAACGCACGCGTGTAATTACCTAAGTGTAGTTACAGGATGAGAGCTACGCTCGTTTTGTCCCGTCTTCCAAGCACTCTTTGTCATATAATTCTTTGAAATTACCGACAGTTTTGGCCTCGACCACCTTCTCACCTAACTCGTTCCAATCATCTACCACTCTGTTTACAAAAGGGTATTTTCTTATATTTCTTTGGCAGCTTTGTTTTGTTAGTTTAAATCTATGACCTTTTGTTCTTGAAGTTCCGGATCTCAGAAATTCTTCCCTATCGATTTTATCGATTCCTGTTAATATTTTGTACGTAGTGATCATATCGCCTCTTTTTCTTTTATCTTCTAGTTTTTGCATATTTAATGCCTCAAACCTCTCCTCGTAGCTCTTGTTCTTCAGTTCTGGGAGCCACTTAGTGGCATGTCTTTGCACCTTTTCCAGTTTGTTGATGTACTTCTTAAGATATGGGCACCACACAACCACTGCATATTCCAGCTTTGGTCTAACAAAAGTCGTGAACAATTTCTTTAGTATTTCTCCATCCATGTATTTAAAAGCAATTCTGAAGTTAGAAAGTGTAGCATAGGCTCCTCGCACAATGTTCTTAATGTGGTCGTCAGGTGACAGTTTTTTATCTAAAACCACTCCTAGATCCCTTTCTTTGTCAGAATTCTTTAAAAATTTCTCACATAATTTATAGGTTGTGTGGGTCTATGTTCTCCAATTCCACATTCCATAACATTGCATTTATTCACATTAAATTCCATTTGCCAAGTGGTGCTCCATATACTTATCTTGTCCAGGTCTTCTTGAAGGGCATGACAATCATCTAAGTTTCTTATCTTCCCTATTATCTTAGCATCATCAGCAAACATGTTCATATTATTCTGTATTCCATCTGGTAGATCGTTTATGTAGACAATGAACATTACCGGTGCAAGAACTGAACCCTGTGGTACTCCACTTGTGACATTCCTCAAAGAAGTCTTTTATAAGTTTATGGGTGGAACTCCGGACTGCGAGGCTGCGGAGACTGCTCCCACAGCTGTCTAAAATTATTGAACTAAAATGTAAAATATTATTTTGTTTCATTTACTATTATTTTGTATTATTTATTTTTTGGCTAAGTAATGCATATTGAATTTTCTTGTCTCTTTAAAGGGAAAAATTATTAGGAATAAATAACATTTGATCAGTTTCTGGGGGAAGCCCTGTCAGCATCCTGGAGTTATCCAGGCTGAATGGATATGTATAACTTTCTGGAAACAGTCAGTGCATTGAGTTCTTGCCTACCAGGGACCACGAGCCAGAACCTGGCCCCCTCTAGAGAGGTGCAAGGAGCAATGGCCTATAGAGACCCCCCCCCCCCATCCTGTGGTTGGGAGCATTCTATGTCTGCCATCGACTGGGATTGGCACCCAGAAAGGTAGGCGCACCAAAACAAACCCCTATTCTGGTAAAAGTATTGCGACCAAAGGCCGAACAAGTGGACAGAACTCCCCAAACGAAAATTAGCAAACGAGCATGACGTCATCATGTCACCGCACCGCTGTCTGCGCACCCCTCATCCCTCCGCATGAGGGGGAAGAAGGGAGCCTAGACCCACCCACTGGCGACCCAACCTTCAGTTCTTGGCTGATGGAGTCTGGTGCGGTGTTGCCTCTTGCTCCAGTTTTTATTTCAGTTCTGTGCCTTGTGGTGTGGGCTGTCTCCTCAGGTGGTGCGTGAGCCAGGAGTCATATTCCATGGTATTCGGGCTGCATCCGCCTAGGGTTCCCTTCCCTAGGTGCCCTGTAAGTACTGCCCTTGGGGCTTGGGCCCGCCTTCCACAAGTCACCTTGATATCTACCTTCACTGTGCCGTTTACTGCTCGGTATTTGGCCGCCCTTGGGGTCAGCTGGGATTTCTCTTACCCTTGTTTGTCTCTGGGTAGGGGTAGTTTTCGTCACTGGCAGAGGCACGGTGTACTGCATAGCTAGTTTTCACCAATAACAGCGGCCGGCTCTGTTCCGCCTGGGTACATTGTCCTCTTGCAAGAGTTTTTCTTTTGTTTTTGTTTTCTGTGGGGAGCCCCTACGGCTCCCTGGAGCTTATTGGGCTAATGTATGTTATGTTAGACTGGGACATTAGCTATGGAGTTCAGACCTACCAGGGACCAGCGCCAGAACCTGGCCCCTTCAGAGAGGTTTCAGGGAGCAATGGCCCTGGAAAACCCCTTTATGGTTGGGGGTTTTCCTTATCTGCCATCGACCGAGGTCAGGCACCCAGAAAGGTAGGCATAACAAAACAAACCCCACATGGTAAAAAAACTACAACAAAAAAAAACAGAGAGGTAGAAACTCCCTACAATCCCAAGGAAACAATCAAACAATGAATTTAATGCCGCGCCGGTCGTCCGCGCAGCCCACTCCTCCCTGGGAGGGGGAGGGAGGGGCCCCGGACCTCACCACGCTGGCTGCCTTCAGTTCGTAAGCTAGTGTCAACCAGGATAGACACTTCATTGGCCTCAAATTCCTGGGTGGTGTTTGCCTCGTGTGGCGTTCTCTGCTGTCTTTGTGTGGTGTGCGGTGGCCAGGAGTACCTCATCAGTGCCGGGGCTGCATGTGCTTAGGGGCTTCCTTCCCTAGGCGCCCTGTGAGTACTGCCCCTGCGTGTCAGGGTTATCTTCCCTGGGGCGTTCGGGAACCGCTCCCATAGGGGTTCTTGCTGCTTAGCATTTGCCTCACGCATGGGACCAGCTGGGGCTTGGGGCCCTTGTTTGGCCTTGGGTAGGGAGTGGTGTTGTGCTGGTTAGGGCGTCAAGGTGTTGCGCAGCCTGCCACCTAAGCGGCGACCGGTTCCTGTTGCCTCTGGGGACGGTGTACTTTTGCGGGTTTTTCTTTTGTTTTGTTTTTGTTTGCCTGTTGGAGGTACTGCCTCGTGGGTCTATAGTTCCCCTGATATTGTTTTGGTGGCCCTCTTCTAGGCCCCTGTGCTTGTACACGTCCCAGGGGATTTTCAGTGTTATCATCTACCCTTGTTTGTTTGGGTTTCTTAACCGGTTAGCAACACCTTGCCCGGGGTTCCCGTAGTTGTTACCCTATGGGCCCTGGAACCCCCTGTCG